GGGGGGGGGGGCGGATTTACAACCCCAACATACTACGAGTGGGTTCAACAGGCCCTAAGCGACGGTGGGCTCCAGTGCAGCTGTTCACTGGGGGCCATAGGTTGGGTGGTGCCCCCATGGAGGAGGCTGGAAGGCACAGAAATCGAGCAAGCAGGAAAGGAGGGCAGCGTGGTAGCCACAGCCAGGGTGGGCTTTGGACAAAATCAACAGGCACGTCCAGTGAGCTGGGGAAAGACACCTCCTTGCACGCATGCCCCCTCCCGGGGGGGCTGCAGCCAGCATGTGTAGGCAGAGGGGGCATTCTAGGCCCTCGCCAGAGAAATGCCAGCTGCAACCTGTGTGAGATGAGCGCCTTCACCCTGCCCAGTTCCACACAAGCATGTTGGCCCCATCCCCAGGTACCACCATCCTCCCCCCCGCTTGCCTGGCTGTGCCAGCTCTCTGGGAAGTCACCTCACTTGTTTAGGTTCCCTCCTCTGGGCAGGGCACATCCCAGTGCCCCCAGCCCTACCCTTGGCAAGGGGGCTGAGGGCAGACCCTGCAGGGACTCAAGCCCCTTTTCCTGGCACTGTGATCAAGGTGGGTGCAGCAGCCATGTTCAGGGGGAGAGGGCAGAGGCCCCTGCCAGCCTAGGAGAACTGTGTGGCCCCAGCTCAGATATCTTGTATGGGCTGGAGCTCAGTAGCGCTACTGCCCTCTAGGGGTGGGCTCAGCCCAGCCTGCTGTGGGTCCAAGACCCCACTCTGCTCACCGCTCAGGGAGAGTCCCTGGTACTTTGAAAGGGTCTTTGTGCAACAACATCCTCAGCAATGGGGCAGACCAGGGCATGGAGAAGGTCCCCCAAGAGTCCCTCCCATCTGTATTTTCCCCCCTGAAACTTCCCCAATCCTATAGGAGCAGAGAGCTCCCAGCCCAGGTTCTCAACAGCCCTATGGAGCTCCCTCAAGGAGGCAAGATCTCAGGGAACATCCAGCCCAGCCAACCCCCAGCGGATGCAGGACCAGAGGCCAGATGGGCAGAGCAAGTCCTACCCTCTGACCCAAGCAGGAGGGGGGGAGGGGGAGAGCCAGTATCCGAGTCCAACCCCCCAGCCACTGACTGGAGCTGCCTGTCAATCCAAACACTTTAATCGGGTTCCAAGCCACCAAACATGTGGCATCAAACAAAGTGGCAGCCCCGAGTCCCCCTCCCCCACAACACAGGGCCCCCTGCCCAGGGCACAAAGCAGGTGCAGATACAGCACCTGCACCCCAAGCCTGGGGGCACTCAGCCAGCACCACGTCCCGCTGCACAGGGAGGAGAGGGAGATGCCCATGGCTGAGCACCAAGACATCCCCTCCCCAGCTCGGCCACGTGCAGAGAAGGAGCTTGTAGGGGGAGGGGTATCAGACACTCCCCTGGACACAACAGCAGCCACCCTGGAGAGGGACTGGCTGCAGACCGGTCCCAGCAGGGCGCTGGCTGCATGGCACAAAGGCTCCCTGAGGCAGGAAGGCAGCGGGCAGGCCCCCGCAGGTGGTGGCGAGCGGCCCCGTCTCACGCCCACGGCCGGGATCCTGCTCTCACAAAACAAACCAGTCAGAATGCACCTGGCGCCAGGCTCTGCCGTGCTCCCACCCACCGGGGCGAGAGCAGGGAGCCCCAAGGGCACTGATCCCTCAGCCCACAATGACGCTGAAGCCGCAGTGGAAGCGGTTCTTCCAGTGGTTGAGGAAGGCACCCAGGGCCAGGGTGACGGGCAGGGGCGGCAGCTTCTTCTCTAGGATGCCCCCCACACACCAGTTGCTGTCCAGGAAGCCTGCGGGGGAAGAGCCAGAAGCCATTGAGCCGGGGGAGCACGGAGACCATGTCCTGCAGCCCAGCCTCCCAACCTCAAGACCTCCCTCCCACCCCATTCCCAGCTGGAGAAGCCCCGATTAGGTTCCAGGCTCCAGGTCCTGCTGCTTCACCTCCCAACCCTAAGGCAGCGCTGCTCCTGGCCCCGCTCCCAGAGACTGTGGCCCTCTGTGATGGGCGTCGTCCCCCTCGGTACCCAGCACTCCTGGCATGTCCCCCTGGGACAAGGGGAGGTTGCTGGGAGCCCCGACTGCACAGCAAGTGTCTTGGGGCCATGCTCTCAGCCTGGGGCCCAGAGCAGGCCCCCAGCATGCTGTCTGCCTGAGCCTGGGGGACCAGGTTGCCAGCTGCTCCTCCCCAGTCCTGCTGCTGAACTAGGAGGGCTGAGGACCGGGGCCCCAGGCTAGAGAAGCTGATGATGGAGCAGGAATCAGCAGCCCAGTGGCGGGGGGGAGAGAAGAGCAGCTCAAACACACTCAAAGAGCTCTCCCAGGGCACGGCTGAGCCCCAACCAGCTGCTGCCCCTGGCCAATCCCAGGGCCAAGTCACAGGGACACGCTGGCTGCCATCCCTGCCCCTGCAGTCAGACCAGCATCTGCACACAGAACGATGCCCCGTCCTTGCAGAAGGGGAACAAGCTGCAGAGGCAGGAGCAAGCCCTGCCTCAGGCATCCTGCGGGAGAAAGCCATGCTGGCTCAGGAATGGAGCCTCTCTCCTCTAGGCGGTGCCAGCCCAAAGGTGAAGGGACTGACATGGAGGATATGGGGCCTTTCCCTTCCAAGGGATGCTGGTTCCAGTCTAGCCCAGAGTGGCGGGGGCTGGCTGGTCTAGCCCTTTCCACTAAAAATACAGCCATAAGCATAACGAACAGGTGGGCTGAACAGCCCCCTACTGGATGGGATGCAAACACCATTGCTGTGTGCCACAGGCCCTATACTGCTCATGAATGAGGCGATTCCCCTGTAGCTCAGGGACGCTAGGTCTGTGCTGTGATAGCTGTGGATGCTGCTTCCATGCTCCCTGCTGCAAAGCGCCCGGATAGCAGTGGGAGCTGCACAGAGAAACTGGCGTGTTCCTGCACAGCACAGGGAAGCGAGGGGAGAGCAGGTGTGGGAAGGGCTCCAGGCCCAGGCCAGCTCTCCGCAAATGGGCAGGGGGGATCAGAGGCCTAAAGCCGTGAGCAGAGCTGGGAAGATCCCAGATATAAACATCCTCAGACGTGCTGGGGGATCATTTGGTGTTGCAAGGGCAGGGAGATTGTGGGTCCAATGGCCCGGGAGAAGACCCTGCCCCCTGGGTGAGACTGGCAAAGCCCTGGGCAACCCCCTGCCCCAGCAGGGTCTGGCCCCGCTCCACACTCACCTCGGAAGACCATGTTGGCAGGCACCAGGCTGAGCTGGTAGCCAAAGGCAAAGCTCGTGTCCTGTAATCGGGTGTTGGCCTCAAACTCTACCCCGACCTGCACCTGCAGGGGAGGAAGCGAAGGGTGAAAAACACCCTGTGGCTGCCCTGGATGCTGGGGGCAGCCCTCAGGGGGGATGACTGGCTCACCTGCTCGTTAGCCTTGTGGTAGTAGCTGGCATGGGCCCCGCCATAACCAACATTCAGCGTCGCCACCCACTTGAGAGCTGCAGAGACAGAGGGAGTGAGGCTGGGGAAGGGCTGAGAACTACCTGGCAAGGAGGGGACAGCTCAGGTAGGCACAGTACAGGCTTCACCTGTGATGCATGCCCCTCTGGGCTGGCCCACAGCCCCTTGCTATCCCAGGGCTGTGCCTCCCCCCAGCCCTGCCCCCGCCCCAATCTGCAGCCCACCCATCCCCCACGATGTCTCCCACACCCGGATCTTTAAGCAGGCGTTCCAGTCAGGCCATCACACAACATTTCCGTGCTCTGGGCCTGCAGCGGCCTGCCCCACCAACCCCAGCCTCCCGTTCTTCCCAGGCCCCACTGCTGGGTTCCAGCACAGGCAGCAGGCAGGGCTGGAGCACTGACCCAGTTGGGCTCATACCCGTGTACTTCCCTGCCAGGGTGACGATGGCGCCCTCCTCGCCCGGGCGACGGTGATACACCATCTCCCCGCCCAGCACCAGCCGCGAGGTCACACTCTGCAGGAAATGCGCCACCACGATGACTGCAGGGAGAGGGAGACCGTCAGCAACGGACCCCGCGACAGCCGCCAGCACCGCATGGGCACCAGCCCCGCCTCCCGCAGCCAGTCGAAGGGAAACTGAAGCACCAAGTGGGGGGGGGGGAGGGGGCACCGGCCCAGGTCACAGCAACTTGGTGCCAGACTCCCGCCCTCCCCCAGCTCTGCACACTAGCCCATGCCGCCCTCCCCCTCTAACGTAGCTGGGGTGGGGTGGGCCCATCAGCACACAGCAGAGCCTGATGCCTTGGGGCTGCAGAGCTGGGCACCAGGATGGCCATGCCCAGGGGGGTCGCTTGGTGCCAAGCCCTGGGCCGCAGGGCTCTGGTGGGAAGGGAGTGGAAGAAGCCAGTGGCTGGAAAGTTGAGGACAGGAAGTGAGGCAGGAAAACAGGGCCAACGGGCCGGGCTCACCTGATTGGCTGAGCACGTCAGGGTTGCCCAGTGTCAGTGTGGCTGTGAAGTCGTCACCACGGACCTCCCCGTCGAACTGCCATGTCACGAACCGGGCCTGTTGCGTCTGCAGGGAAAGACAGGGGCTCGGCTGGGGGCCCGGCACACCAGGCCCACCCCCCCTCCAGTCGCATCCCCTGCCCCATGCTCCCGAGTCAAAGCCGCACCTCACACTAGTCCTGCTGCACACCCCACTCCTGTGTCCCCTGCCCAGCACCAACCCCCTTTCCTCCCACCCCCACCTCCTCGCACACGCCCTATCCACCGCACCTCCTCGCACACGCCCTATCCACTGCACCTCCTCGCGCACGCCCTATCCACCCCACCTTCCCGCGCACGCCCTTTCCACCCCACCTCCTCGCACACGCCCTTTCCACCCCACCTTCCCCGCACACGCCCTATCCACTGCACCTCCTCGCGCACGCCCTATCCACCCCACCTTCCCGCGCACGCCCTTTCCACCCCACCTCCTCGCACACGCCCTTTCCACCCCACCTTCCCCGCACACGCCCTATCCACTGCACCTCCTCGCGCACGCCCTATCCACCCCACCTTCCCGCGCACGCCCTTTCCACCCCACCTCCTCGCACACGCCCTTTCCACCCCACCTTCCCCGCACACGCCCTATCCACTGCACCTCCTCGCGCACGCCCTATCCACCCCACCTTCCCGCGCACGCCCTTTCCACCCCACCTCCTCGCACACGCCCTTTCCACCCCACCTTCCCCGCACACGCCCTATCCACTGCACCTCCTCGCGCACGCCCTATCCACCCCACCTTCCCGCGCACGCCCTTTCCACCCCACCTCCTCGCACACGCCCTTTCCACCCCACCTTCCCCGCACACGCCCTATCCACTGCACCTCCTCGCGCACGCCCTATCCACCCCACCTTCCCGCGCACGCCCTTTCCACCCCACCTCCTCGCACACGCCCTTTCCACCCCACCTTCCCCGCACACGCCCTATCCACTGCACCTCCTCGCGCACGCCCTATCCACCCCACCTTCCCGCGCACGCCCTTTCCACCCCACCTCCTCGCACACGCCCTTTCCACCCCACCTTCCCCGCACACGCCCTATCCACCCCACCTCCCCACACACGCCCACCTCCATGCACATGCCCTGCCTCTCCCACCTCCCCACACTCCCTGTCCCCTCTAACCCTAACCCTTCCTCCTCACGTCCTCACCCATGCCCTGCCCCCTCTAACTCTAACCCTGCCTCCTCACCCATACCCTGCCCCTGCTTCTCCTCACATATGCCCAGCCTCTCCATTTCTCCCACTTCCTCACACACATACAGCCGCTCCAGGGATGCCACCTTCCCCCCATTGTCCCCCTTTCCACCCACTCCCCACACACACACACACCCAGCCCTCCATTCTTCCCACATCCTGTCCTGCTTCCCCATGCCACACCCATACACCATTCCCCCCACATTCCCTGCCCCATGCCCACCCTCCGCCACCTCCCTGCAGGCCCAGGGCGAGGCCTCACCTGGAAGACCGCCTTGGTGCGGATCCGTTCCGCTAACAGGTGCAGCACCTGTGCATTGAGGTTCCCGCCAGTGTCGATGTCCCCGACCAGCATGGGGAAAACCTGCGGGGGAAGGGGCACAGCACTGGGATGGGTTCCCTCAGGAGAGCCCCGACGCCAGCTGCAGGCACCCCAAGGATCGTGCAGTCAGCAGCCCCAGCAGGCCAAGGACCCTTCCCTCCTGTCCAGGGACAGAGAGCAGCAAGAGTGCCGGGTCCCAGCCTGGCCTCTGGGAGCACTAGCTGTGCTGGGGGCTTCCACACCCCTCCACCCGCTGGCCCATCCCATGCCTTGCGTGCCCCTCCCTCACCACACCTGTGCGCCCACAGACTGGGCTCTCTGGCTCCCCCCGGTGGCTACTCCTAAGCTAAGCGCTTACAAAAGAAGCGAGCTGAGGTGGGCTAAGTCCCAAAACTGCACCCTCACCCCTCATTCCCACCTTCCCTCCAGCAGCCTCAGGAACATGACCCCCATGGACCAACACGCAGACTCATATGGCCCAGGCCACCTCCAGAGCCTCAGCCCACACGTCCCCTCGGGTGTGGCTGCCAATCCTCAGTGCTCAAATACCGACTCAGGCTCCAAAGCCCACTGCGAGGGTTCAGAACGAGGGACACGCCGGGTCCTTTCCCTCACCTGATGGTCCTGGGGCCTCTGGGTCTCTCCCTGGCTGAGGGACTGGACACCCATTCAGCACTAGGCCCTGGAAGCAGTTTGGCTGGGGGCCTGCAACACCCGGCCCTCCTCCACCACCATATGTAATGTGCTCCCCCTCCGCCACATCCCTCTGGCAAGGAGGGGTGCTCAGAGCCAGCTTGTGGCCAGAGGACCTCCCTGAAGGGAATGGGGGGAGGGGCACACTGCTGCTGGCCATAAACCCTCCTATGGTTTGCCCAGCTCTCCCTGTAGGCACCTGGCATGATGGCGCCAGCCAGATGCCCACATGAGCAGGATCCAGGGACTCTAACCCAGATGAGAGGTGAGCAGCAGGGCTGGCTCCCAGAGGCTGCTGGTGGCAGATGACATGCCCACCCAGCAGGCGGAGGGAATCTTCCCCTGGAGCTAACTCACTCGCCTACCAAGGAACCCACTCAGCTCCCTGTGAAGAGGCTCAGGCCTTTAGCCCCACTAGCACCTCTCCAAGCTCTGTGCCTCCCTAGCACCAGAGCAGGGCACTAGCATTCAAAGACACATTTCATATGCCCTCTGCCCACTCAGGCAGCGAAGGGTCAAACTTGCTGCAGAGATGGGGACTAGAACCAAGGAGTTCTACTCACAGACCCCTGATTTCATGTGCAGACTTCCTAGCATGCTCAGCTGCCACAAAGAACACTGGAGGATCCCTTGCACCCCCCCCCCCCCCCCCCCCCCCCACCGCGCGGGGAGGGGGGGATCTAGGCCTCTCAGACCCGATTCATCCTGGTGCTGCAAGATAAGCCCAGATGCCTGGCTCCTCGCCAGCCCCAGCCCTCTGTATGTTTGGGTCCCAGCTCACCTCGGTGGGACTGAACTGCTGGTCTCCCACATAAGTGGTGTTGAAGTGGTAGCAGGACTGGCCGATGGTGCTTATGTGAACGGTGTGACAGACCTGGAGCAGACACAAGGGAGCCCGATTCATCCTGGTGCTGCAAGATAAGCCCAGATGCCTGGCTCCTCGCCAGCCCCAGCCCTCTGTATGTTTGGGTCCCAGCTCACCTCGGTGGGACTGAACTGCTGGTCTCCCACATAAGTGGTGTTGAAGTGGTAGCAGGACTGGCCGATGGTGCTTATGTGAACGGTGTGACAGACCTGGAGCAGACACAAGGGAGTCAGGCTGTGCTGGGATGCTATGTGCAACCTGTAAGGGCTCCTTCCAGCCCAGCCACTGTGGACAGTGCTCTCCACATCCAGCTGCAGCTCCCCTTCTATCTCCCCGAGGTTTCAGGTCCCAGAAAGTCCAGCCCTGCATGGGGATCCAGGGATTGCACTGCACCCTGGGATGTGTAGGCTCCACAGGCCACACCTCCAGAGCAAGCATTAGAGGGGGCGCGTTCTTACACTGTTCAGAAGTGGAGTGGGGGAGGTGACAAAGTCTCTGTTCGTCACACCAACCCCCGGGCCAGATTCCAGCAGCATCTTCGCCTCGACACCCCAGATGCAATCCAGCCAGTGGGAGGAGTTTCCCAGCCTGTTGGTGGGTACAGAGCCCAGCTTGGAAAGAGAACACGCCCACATCTGCCATCTCTATCCCCCCAGGCTCCCCTGCCTGCCAGCCCCTGCAGATGGGACAAGACACGCCCTGGAAGGCGCCCGCCCGCCCCACAAGGGGAAGAGGTGCTGAGCTAAGACTTGGAGGCTCCTCGGCAGGGATATCAGTGGGAGAGGAGAGCTGCAACTGACCTGGAAGTGGTTGCTCAGGGTTTTGTTGATGATCAGCTTTACCCCTTCCATCTGCTGAGGGAAGACTTCTACAAGGAGACGGGGCAAAGAGAGTGACTTAGACACACAGCACAATGCCCACAGAGCCAGGGCAGACGGCTCCTCTGCGCTCCAGGCCCCACAGCTGGAGCAGAGCTCAACAAGGGCAACAACTTGGGAGGAAAAACTCCTTGGAGTCTTTCCCCGCATCCTCCCTCACCCGTTACTGCTCTTTGTGCTGAAATAGCCCGGAGCGCTCCTCCCTCCCCTTCGGCCACGGCTTCCCCAGCCATTTAACATGAGTTACAATTCAAAGGTGCCCATTCAGAAACTGATCACTTGAAGCGCTGCCAATCACAGTGCAGAACAGGACCCCGGAAACACAGGAGAGCAGAGCACCACAACACCCTGCTACGAAAGGACAGGGTTGAAGCAGCACAGAGCTGCCGAAAAGCCAGCGCTCCTGCCCTCGTCCTTGCAGCACCCCCTGCTGGTAGAAGAGCACGCTCCAATCCCCTCAGCATGTCTCTGTCCCAGGAGGTTCCCTCTAAACTGCACAGCTGCCTAATAAGTCCAGCGCAGGGGCTCAGGTACCCAGCACATGGAGCTGCCACTGCTGGCGTGAGGCGCCCAGCACCAGTCCAGAGCCCCCACCTCCTCCCATACTCTAGCCCCCGTGACCCTACCCCCGCCACAGATCATCCATGCGCAGAATGAGTTTCATTAGGTGCACCAATACGGAGGCGATAGTGATGCGTGTAACAACATTCATTCTGCACGTGGGCATGAAATATTAGAGGGCATACTGGCTGAGACCCACCTTTGCATTTCCGGTGGAGCTCATCGAAGCTGCCCGGGTTGGTAAGCGGCTGCTCCCGGCGCAGAGGTCTGTGCAAGGTGGGCATGGGCGCCAGCATGTTCCCCATGGCACCTCAGGCCGGGCCCTGGGATGCAGGGGTACAACCTCCCTCCAACCCACCTTCAAATCCCTACCCCCTGTCGGAGGAGGGAACACCCAGAGAGCCTGGGATCAGCAGGTGCCCTCAGGCTCCCCAAGCAGAGCCTGGTGCTGAAGATGGGGCCCCAGGCACATGACACACAGCAGGGTCTCACGCTCCCCAGCCTTTTGTGCCAGCGCCCCACAGCCCAGCTTGGAGCCCAGGACCGGGGCTGGCGGAGCACAGGGACTGGGG